GTCAATGAAAATATCTGATCAACTCATTGAAATGACACTTYCTTAGTTGAAAAATATATCCTTGAAAAATATATATTTTTCGCTATTTTCATATTATCGAGAATTTTTTAATTTTTAATTTTTTAAAAGATGTTTCATAGTGGTTGGCTCTCCCGCGCACCTAAGATTTTTAAACGGCCGTTTGACCAACTTAATGTAACTCGATTTTCCTAAAATAAACAGGCAATGTTGTACTTAGTTAGAAAAATTTTTAAACATGTATTGATTTTTAATTTATTACAAAAATAGCACTGAGTTTTATGGTAGAAGGAAAGAATTCAAAGAAAGCTGATTTCCGACCAATGTCGATGGCACCTAGAAAAAACAAAAGTACTGCGTTTAACTGTAGGATATTGCTAATGATATATTTCAAAATCAAGGGAATTCTTCTTTTACGAACACGCTCACAATTGACCGATATTCATGATAAAATGCCAATGTCTGACGCTCAGCTTTACAGCAAAAGCCGGACTTGCTTGGCTTATAAGATAATGCTGTACAAGTATAAAGTTATTTCTCTTCTCAGTTTTGAAGATGTCATTTCTTTTTGTACACCGTAGTTTATGCAGCGACTCTAAAAAAGTGTAGTTTTAGCGCTTTTCCAATTAATTCAAAAATGAGGCCAATTTTTTTTTTTTCTTGAATGAGTTGTTCCATCGCTATATTGACAACATTGTTGCAAAGTTCAATTGGATTGATGAATTTAACCTGGTCAAAAAAGAATTACAAATTTTGCTTCAAGACGCGTTCAAGATATTATGTTTTTGGCTACAAGGTCGRCAGCGCACGAGAAAATGTTTTAATATATTCAGGCGGATGTAACGCATTACCATAGCTCTATCTCACATTTTTRTTGACARGAGGAATCCTATTCAATATACCAYAACACACGATGAAATGCCATTGTGTCATTGCGCATATAAAGTGTGTTGATATATACAATTGTCCAATTAAACAATGACGTTCATGTTAAGTTAAGTCGAAATAGCCTTTCACGTATCGAAAAAACCCACTATGCAAATAATTAGTGAAGACTGCTGGCTTCAATTTATTTTACTTTACTTATAACTAATATTTACAWCTGATATCATTACACGACAAATAGAAGACTTGCGCACATTATATTCTATTTTGTCATCCTTCCTTGGCGACGTTTAATTTTCTTACTGGGACCGTTTGCAGGACTTAAAACTGGATAATGTTCCTCGTTTACTGGTGGTGCATTGTGGGATATCATTGTATCCTTGTGCAAAGAGACTTTCTTTGATATTCCCGCTGAAACATCACCTGAAGAACATTTATCAGTTTTTTGCTGAGCGTTTTTCTTGCAGATATTTTCAGCTGCTTTGGAACATTTTGTATTGTAGTCTAATGGACTTAGGGATGGAAAATGTTGATTATCGAGGGGTGGAGGGGCTGGTTGTTTCCTCAGATTCGTAATCTTCTCTGCATGGCCATTGTCCAGTAGTTGTTTATAGGAAAAAGGATTTCTTTGCCTTGAACATTGACTTCTTTTCTCATTCAGATTTGCGGACCGCAGACTCTTTTTTGTACCAATGCTTAACGCGGGGTTGGTTTGTTCATTTATGTCACCTGATGTCGTATCAAACTTCTCAGGCCGTGCACAGGTACTTTCATCTGATAATATGAATGGCTTTGAGAAACGTCTTTTGTTTCCTTTTGTCTTGTTGGCGATGAGCCGCTCTTCACCGTCTAAATGGAAAATCAAATCATCAAAATTATAATCCTAATGAATCTAAATCATCACGTGATCAAGGAAAGATCTACGTTTGATGTAAAAAAAAATTAGAAACACAGACGAAAGAAAATCGGAACACGTAATAAAAGTTTTGCTTGGAAAATATATTTTATGTTTTAAAATGGACTTTATAAAACAATTATCAGTTGTATTATTTGTGATGCAGCCATGTCATTGCATTTGAATTGACAAACTGGCTACACATTGTACTATCAGTGTATATGATATCACCCCTCGTGCAGGGAGTGTCTCTGAATACTTCTTTATTTAAACTTTCCACCTCTACTTCCCCTATCCCACATGTCATGTATTGTCTTGTGCTCACCTTTACTGGGCAATTCTTCCTGTGAACGCGATGCACTTGAACCCTTTGACTTTCTTTTTAACTTCTTTTTCCTTTTAGTTTCACTAAAACATTATAATAATTTATTCATTATTGTGAAAGACACCTTCATAATACTGATCGTATTTACTATTGTCTTTGCATTAATTGTTGCTATCACWAGTAACTTATTTATAACTGAATTGAACAACTCTTTTACAACCAATGCCAACAGTAATTTTGTCCATATATAATCCGCGTTTTAATAYCTACAAACRTAGGAAGCGGTGTAACAATATTTKWTAATTTACTCCTGAGGTCTCCTGTCAAAAACTTGACGACTTACACAGCTTTTTACTCGCTTCAAACTGATGAYATCATTATAAACCTATAGGTGTACCAAAATATAATACCTTTTTACTAAAGTGTCTCCAAGGACAGCAGGGTCTTTAGGTTTTGTCAACAGTCGGAATAACTGCTGCACCGTTTCTCCGTCACCTGTACAAATTTCGATTTTGTCGCTCTTCTTGGAGGGTGGCGATGTTTTCTYTTCAACAATCACATCATAGCCCTGGACAATAAAATAAGATAAATAATGATGTTTTTTTATTATGAGAATGATTTTAATAATGAGCATTCT